CTCTTAGAGGTGGCCTATCTTCCCAAGCTGGTTGATGTCATTCACTTCAAGACAGCCCAAAGAGACATGTCTAAAGCCTCCTTGGGAAATCAAAAGACTGATATGGAGGCAAGAAGGGCAGCCCTACAGTCCCTTTAAACCCAAACCTTATCCCCAGATCCTGAGGAACCATTCTGATCCTTTCCTAAGGGACACAGTGACAGGCTATAAAAATCCTACATGGGGTATGGTCACCAGAATTTTCACAGGTCTTAGAAGCGATTCCTGAGAAACTTTGGAAGATCTGAGGCTCCTCTTCAGAAAGCAAGGCTCCAGTATTGCTCTGGGTGTAGATAAGTAGAGCCACTAATGACTCTAATGTACCATGGCTCAAATGGGCCCCTGTACTGAGGCTCTGATTTTTTTATTAGATCCATTATATGGCTAGTCTTGCTAAGGCTATGGCTCTCAGGCTTTTAATAATTTATCTAACCTCCCTCTTTGCCATACTTTGTCTTCCACAAGAAGCATGGAAATCTGACCTGCTCCTCATATTTGGGTTCTTCATCCCCAACATAGCAGTGAAACTGGCTCTTTTCTCGTTGTCTTCTAACAATTTTTCTCTTCAACCCAGTCACTGGGCCACAACACCACAAAGCAGTTCAAGAGCATGTGATCCCAGTAGGTATGGTCTATAGCCCCTTCTAGCCAGAAAAAGCTACAGGAGACAGAGATCTCCACTTCTTCAGCACCCTATAGAGAATTATGGGGATTTAAGTCTCTCGGGGGGAAATGAGACAGGAAGGTAAAGTGTGGCTAAAACTGCTGGGAATGGAGGTGTGATGAGATCCTGGAACACTTGTGCAGAACAGTTCTCAGAACCCTGCACGTGGACTTCTTGAGAATCCGAGCAGGTTTTCACATGGCCTAGACTTGACGTCAGCCTGAGGAGTGGGTGATATAAAAAAGACAGTTCACATTGTTGTTGTTTTTGTTTTTTTGTTTTTTTTGTTTTTTTTGAGACAGGGTCTCACTATGTAGTTGAGACTGATCTGGAACTCACTATGTAGCCCAGGTTAGTCTCGAACTCACAGCGATCCTCGAACTCACAGCCTCCCGAGTGCTGGGCACATTGAGTTTTTGACGTTGCATTTTCTCTGCATGGTGGTCCACCCTCATGCTGTAGGGTGTACTTCTTTTCCTACTATTACTTGCTCCAAACTTGCTCTGCAGAGCCTGCTTCTTTTCCTACCTTAAATAAAACTTTGCTACTGCTTGTGCTTGTTTTGACCAATTCTTCACTCAGGTCAGAAAGAACCTGGAAACCACCTTCAGAAGGAGCTTCCAGTGCCTCAAAGCCCAGTAATAAGATCCAGTTGCACTTCAATGAACAGAGGCACTCTGCTTGGCTTACATCCTGGCCCTGAGCACATCCTCTTCCATAAGATACTGGTCTCGTGTGTCCCACCAGATCGTACACAATATCTGATGGAAGATACTCTTTTATGTCTGATCCTCTAAAACTAGTGGCACAAAATTCTATTTGGTCTCCAAGGCAGTGCAACACTTTTCAAGTACACAAAAGCATTCTTCACAGAGCTGGAAAAAAATGATCCAAAAATTCATACGGAACCAGAAGAGACCCAGAAGAGCAAACACAATCCTGGGCAACAACAGCAAAGACAGGTATCACAGTCCCAGAGATGAAGTTATATTACAAAGCTATGGTGATAAAAACAGCACGGTACTGGCACAAAACATATGTGGGGATCAGTGGAACAGAACAGAAGGTGCAGAAACAATCCCAGGCACATTCAGCTATCTGATATTTGAAAAAGAGGCTCAAAACATACACAGGAGGAAGGGCAGACTCTTATAGAAATGGTGCTGGGGCACATATATTAATTAACAATTGTGTCCCAGCCCTCATGGAAGAGGAGCACAAAGTTCAAAGCCAGCTTGAACTACACAGATGACTGTGTCTTAAAAAAAAGAAAAATCAGTGGTGCAGGGCAAGCTGGTTATCCACATACAGAAAAATTGAATCTAGACCCACATTCTCACCATGCACTAAACTAACATCAGAATTGATCAAAGAACTAAATGTTAAAATAGAAACACTTAACCTACTGGATGATAAAATAGTAAAACTTTTGAAGTCATAGGCACAGTCAAGGTCCTTCGTTACAGACCCCAGCTTGCACAAAAAGTAGCAATGAGAATCAACAAATGGGACTGCATCAAGTTAAAAAGCTTCTGCAGAGCAAAAGAAACAACCAAGGGTGTGAAAGGACAATCTCCAGAATGGGAAAAATGTTTGCCAGCTGTTCCTCAGACAGAGGACTATGATCTAGAATAAAGAGCTCAAAAATTTATACTCCCCAAAATAAAAGACCCAATTAAAAAAATGAGTAAGTAAAATGAACAGACACCTCTCAGAAGTACAAATGGCCAATAAGTGAAGAAATGCTCGGCATCATTACAGAAATGCAAATTAAAAGAACACTAAGATTCCATCTTAACCCAGAAAGAATGCCATCATCAAGAAATCAAATATTAAGATGCTGGCAAGGCTGTGGGGAAAAGGAACCATTCTACACTGTTGGTGGGAATGTGAACTTGTACAACGACTATGGAAATCAGTATGGAGATTCCTCAAAACACTAAAGCAAGAAATTCCATTTGACCCAGATATTCCCCTCCTAGGTATCTTCCCGAAAGAGGTGAAGACATAATATCTCAGTGATCCATGCATACGCATGTTTATAGCAGCACAATTCATAATATCCGAATTTGAAGAGCAGCCTAGATGTCCATCAAAAGACAGACAAGGAAAATATGGTATTTACACACAACAGAGGACCAGGCCATAAAGATAAGCTGGAGTCATTTGTAGGAAAATGGATGCATTTTGATGTAAGAGATAAAAAAAATACCTCTAATTGGTTCGCATTTCAATAACCACTCTAACAAACCCTTACTGACAGAATTAGCAGGGTCAAATAGTGGACAAGGACACACCAGCTGGAAGACTCACCCAGAGATATGCGAAAGAAGTTTTCCTGAATTAGGGTTCTGAGAAGTCAAAAGGCCATAAACAACCACAGGAAGGAACGCAGAGGGAGGAAAGGCAGAAAGGGAAGGGGGATTGGGAAGTGACAGACTGTGAACCCCATCCCAGACCATGGGGGACAAGAGCAGGAGCAAAAGCACCCAGCTTCTCTACTCTGGCAAGTGTGAGTGAAAGCCTCCCTCTCGCTGCCTCTGGGGAGTCTGGATAAGTAAACTTCTACCATTTAGACCGTAATGTTAAGCAACTGAGACACACAAGCTTAAATATCGCATGGTTCCTCTTCTCTGAGAAACCCAAATTATAAATAAAGAGCAAATAAAAGATTAATAGGAAGTGGGCCAGGGATTTGGCTCAGTGGTTCCGCCACCTGCCTTGTAAGCACAAGGGCTGAGTTTGATCCTTGGTACCAAAAAAAAAAAAAGGAGTAAGCATGGAGATCTTTCTCAAATGGGAAGGGGACCAAGAGATGGAGGGAGGGGGAGAAAGGGTGAAAAGGGATTAAGATGAGTCATGTCCATGCAGGACTCTGCACAAGGAACGTAAGCCTTGTGTACTTTGAACGTAGTTATGTTCTAATAAGAACAAACCCTTTGAGGTACAGAACTCAAGAATTTCCATGGCTCCAGCTCCTTCTTCCAATTTTTAGCAGAGCACAAACTACTAATCCAAGCTCCTCTGTGCCTGGCCCCTGGAGCAGTTTTCAGGAAGTCTTCTCTGGGCGGGAGCCTCAGACACTGGGCCTGCCACACCCTGGGCCAGCAGAGTGGTTCCTTGGAGCTCGCTTGGCACGGAGGCTAAGGAACCAGGGCTTCATTCTTGGCCAGAGTCTCTGAGCCTTGCTTCCTGGTCTGCAGAGCAGGCTCACAGTCCCTCCTCCCAAGCTGGGGAGAAAGGAAACCACCACCAGGATGGCTCCTGCCGCCTGCAGGCCTCAGGCCAGGGCATGCACGTGGCTCTCTCGCTGTCACATTACCCGCTGTCAGTGCTGTAACCTTCTGGTCCCACGGTGGCATAGGGCACCACTCCTTCCGGGAGGAACTGAATCCGAATGGTTGTGTCCTTAAAGGGGAGCAGCTCATCCGCTGGGACAAAGAAGACAACATTCTAACTACTCATCCCAGCACTTCTGAGGCTGAAGCAGGAGGACTGCTCGAGTCTAGGAGTTTGGACAACATAACCAGACTTTGTCTTAAAAAATAGAAAAAGTTGGCTGTGGCTGCGAATGCCTGCAGCCCCAGCAGTTGGGAGGCTGAGACAGGAGGATCATCTGAACCCTTGGGAACATAGTGAGTTCAAGGCCAGCCTGAACTATATAGTGAGACTTTGTCTCAAAAAACAAAACAAAAACCAACCAAAAATAAACCTTAAAGAGAGATTTAACCAGTGATACTGGAGGAATTCCAAACTCCCTGCTGTGCAGCTATAAGCTGCCCGTCAGGCCAGACTTCACCATCCTGCCTGGGACTGAGTGAAAGGGCAAAGGACTGGGCGGCAGGGGCCAGTCGGTCCGGATGGAGCTCTGCACCCGCTGTCGCCTGGAGTGGAGAAGTGTAAGCCAGATGCTAACAGGGCAGCTGGCAAGGACACAGGCTAGGGAAGGGGTGGGATCAGATGCCACCAAGGAGGAGGACGGTTTCAATGTAAGCAATGCCTGTGACGTGGGAGAGGGATCCCAGAGCGGAGGGAGGAGCGTTCCTGACCCAGTTCACACACTGGCTGTTCTGTGACTGACTCAGTTGATCCATTTTCATAAAACAGTGTGCTTGGAAGCTACTGGTGGTGCTGAACTAAGGTAACAGCTGTCAGGTCTCTCTATGCAGTCCAGAATGGCCTTGAACTCACTGTGATCCTCCTGAGTGCAGTTTACAGATGTGCAAATGTGATTTGAATGGGCAAGGGCTGAAGAAAGTGAGATACATTTACGTGCTCAGCTCTGCTGGAAAGGTAACACGATTATTATTCTCAGAAAATACATTTTAGCTTTAAAATGCAGTATCAAAATAACTACTTTGGGTGAAGCATTAAAAATAGCACTCTTTTAATAAGCTCGAACTTTTAGAGACATACACTGAGGAAGATGCAGATAGCTGCTCCAACAAGGACGACCACTGTCTTTCCCTCTTCACACTTCACTTCGTTCACAGATCTTGTGCTGCCGTTACAGGATATATTAATTTTATTTCCGTTACATAAATTCAGGAAGGAACACAGTGAGATCCAAATATATTACAAGGCATCTAGGGAGATCCTTTTTGTTGCTGAACAGAGAATTATCTGAAATGAACTTTCAGGTTTGAAACAGAGTTGCTGAGAAGCACTACTCGCCCTTTCTGTTTGGTTTTCACCCAAGTATCAGTGAACGCATTAAACAATTGCTAGAAGCATTAACATTCTGGATGTTCCAAAAAGTCATGCTCCACACACTCCTCCAGCTGCCTGAGGACGCGCGGGCTGCTTGTGACCAGTGGCTCTGGGTACGGCGCTCCGGGGGTGGCGCAGGGCTGAGCTTGGGTTTTGAAAGCACAACTCAGAGTCCTGAAGAATGGCATTAACTGCCTGATGCTGGACACGGAACGCTGGCGCAGAAGCGGAAATTCACTCTTCGTGGAGATCTCATCAGAGCTGCTGACTTCCTGCAAAAACAAAACAAAGTAAGGACCTAAAAATGATAGGGCTTCACTGAGGTCAGGGATGCCGTGGACCACAGGCACATGGCAAAGCCGGAGATGAGGCCGAGACTGGAGTTTTGGGTCTTACACTTTCAACTGGCTTTCGCTGAGCCCAGCACTGCTTGGGCCCTGCCGGTGGGTCCTCCGACGCCTTGGGTCCTGTAGCACAGAGCAATTTGGGGTACAAGGGGTGACTGGCATCCAGGCCATGACCTCTAAGCCACTGAAAGGAGCTGTGTGTGTGTGACATGTAGGAAAATAAGACAGAATTTATAACCATTGCAAATTTGAAAACTAAGAGATATTTTGAAAATTTTCAGTCGTTAAAGTCAACTGGTGTCTGAAGTACTTTCTCACTTCTCAGGTCTTCTCCCCTTTGCAATGAATATAATTTTTAAAAGCAAAGCACCTACCCCATATTTTGATCTCAGAAGTTCTAGAATTCTGACAGTGTGGGGTTTGCATTCTTGGTGATTCTCCTCTAGGTCAGACAGGGAGGTAGGGCCCTCTGTGTCCACTTCCGGAACAAAGGCCCACCTGTATCTGGAGGAAAAAGCCCCGATCAGTGCCCTGTAAAATAGTTTATTAAGATCTAATTCTCAGGCCAGGTGTGGTGGCGGACACCTATAATCCCAGCACCCAGGAGGCTAAGATAGGAAGATCACCAGGAGCTCAAGAGCAGCCTGGGCTACATAGTGAGATCATGTCTCAAAAAAAAAAAAAAAAAAAATGTTACTTGGGGGCCGGGGATTTAGCTCAGTGGGGCTGCATCTGCCTTGCAAGGGCAATTCCTAGTTTGATCCCCGATATTAAAAAAAAAAAAAATCACATACCATAGCCATTTCACATACACGCGTCATTGAGTGGCATCGTATCGATGTAATCGGTTTCTCCCCAGGCATCCCCTCCTCTGCCCTGGGTCTACCTTCAGCTGTGCAGATGTACGCAGTGCAATGACCCACTCTGTCTCCAGACTGTCTTGTCCCTGACGATCCGTATGAATGGGATCATGGACTCTGTCGTGTTCCTCGGGAAAAGCTCGGGCCCTAGCATCCTGTCCCAGAAATGCCCTTCTGTGTGCCCAGGACTCTTGCTACGCACAGAGGACACCGCACACAGCCCGGGACCAGGGTCTCCGGTGCTATCTGCCATCTTCCTGCCTACAGGCCAAGCCCACTCTTCTCAGGACTCGAGTCCACAAGCAGCCCAGTGCCAGGTCCTTTCCAGCCATGGCTTCTCTGGTGCTGCTGCTGAGTACACGCTGCTTGGAGGACTTTGTCAAGCAGTGCCGCTGAAGTCTGAGCCCCAGTCTGGGAACAGGTGTGGTCCTTGTGGTCTGCATGCTGCAGCCCCGCCCCCACCCCGTCAGCCCCTGAAGTTAAGTCTCAGTGAACTTTGTCCCTCACAAGGTCTTGGGATTTTCTGTTTGCCCGGCAACCTGCTCCCCGGGCCCAGCACCGCTGGGCTGTGGATGAAACAAGATGAGACAAGATGTGCTCTCTGAGGCTGGCTTTGTCCACCTGGGCCGTATTTTTTTGTTGTTCTTTTTGGTACCAGGAATGGAAGTCAGTACCTCACGCTTGCCAGGCAGGCGCTGCACTGCTGAGCTACATCCCTGACCCTCACCTGGACAGAATTTTCAGCACAGACTGGGAACTGGTGCCCTTCTACTGAGGGACGACATTTTCCTCCATGGTCCTTACAGGCTGGGTTACCCATCCATCATTACTTGATGGTGACTACTTGGGTGTCCCCTCCCCGCCGCTAGTATACATAATGCTGTCATGCACACTTGTGTCCATTTGAGTGCATGTAAAAAGAAACTTTCCTTTTGGAATAGTTTTAGGTTCACAGCTAAACTGAGGAGGAAGTACAGAGAGCTCCCTTGGGTCCCTTATTTCTACACACATGGCCTCCTGGTTCTGACTTCTCCACCACGGTGGAAATGGTTCTCAATGAACCCGCGTGGACACTTCATTACCTCAGCACCACAGGTTACTAGGGTTGTCTTGTTGGTGTGAACTCTATGGCTTTTTGTTTGTTTAAGACAGAGTCTCACTATGTAGTTCAGGCTGGTCTTGAACTCACTATGTAGCCCAGGCTGGCCTGAAGTCAAGGTGATCTTCCTGCCTCAGCCTCCCGAGTACTGGGATTACAGGTGTGCGCCACCATGCTTGGCAAGCTGCTGCTCTTCTTTGTTGTTTTGTCTTTTCCAACTGTCACGGGGCTGGAATGAAATGGTGTGCGTCTTTCCAGCCTGGCTTCCTTCACTTTACGTAATAACGCATCTAAGAGAAGCTCAAATGATTTGCTTGCCACATTCTACATGACTGCTCTCTTTCTGGAGGGCAGGCGGAGGAAGTGGCCACGGGGGCCAGGCCTGAGATTCAGCACGGGAGCAGCTGCGTTAGGCCTGCAGGCAAAGTGCTCTGAGGTTCAGGCGAGCCGGATGGCGTGCTCCAGATCTGTCCACAAGTGGGCGAGCCTGTCTCATGAGCATTCAGGAGCAGAGCCCTGAGCACACAGCACATACTCGCACACACTGTGCACGGACAGGGAGCCGGGCTCACCAGACCGCAGAGTTTGAGGCCCTCTGAAACCTGTGCTCCCAGATGGCCGGGCTACCACACACCCACCCCACAGCTGTCCGGCACCGTACTGCAACTCTACGTAAAGGGTGACCGGCTGCCCTGGGAAGGGGACATGGCCCACTTACATCTGGAAGAGTTGCATCCTGTCAGGAGGAAAAGAAAGGGCTGTGTCCAGGAATTTGCAGGCCGACAAATACAAGACGAGGTCACTTGGGGCCACCTCCCCAGAAGAGGGCCCGTTTCCATCCGCGACCGAGACTTTTCTGTTTATTTTGTTGCTGTTTCTGTAAATTTACAAAGATGTGTTTCTCATCAATTTATTCACATCTACTGTAGCACATGTGTTTATAAGAAACCCATAAGAAGGATTTTCCTTTCCTAGCTGGGGGTGGTGGTGCACACCTGTGATCCCAGCGACTCAGGAGGCTGAGGCAGGAGGGTCGCAAATTCAAGGCCAGCCTGGGCAACCTAGCATGACTCTGCCACAAGATAAAAAGGGCTCCAGACACAGTTCAGTGGTACAATGCCTCTAGTTTTGAATCCCAGTATTTGCAAAAACTAACCGACTGAAATGAATAAGAGAATTTCATAGCTGGTGGTCCCATCAAGTGTCTGAAGAAGACAGCATCAGGATCAGACAGCCCTCCACCATACAGGGATGACTGTTCATCTCTTTCCCCCTTTTTGTCTGGTTCAAGGGACTGAATGTGGGGATGCTGTACCACTGAGCTTCATCTCCAGCTCCATCTTGTTATTTTTTAGACAGGTTCTTGCTAAATTGCCCAGACTGGCCTTCAGCTGGGATCTTCCTGCCTCAGCTTCCCAAGTAGCTGGGATTATAGGTGTAAACCACCACGCCTGGCTGGTGTCCCTCATCACACACACAAGAGCTGGGACTGGTGCTCACCTCAATGGCTCATCATCCTCCTTCAGGTCATCTTCAAGCTGTATGAATATCTGAATCTTGAAAAGGAAACATGCATTCTCGTTACCATTTGAGAGAGGCCAAAGGTCCCCAAGCTGACACGGCTTTAAGAAAGCAGTGGTAGAGCACAGGCACAAAAACCAACCAACCAACCAGCAAATGAGTATCAGCAAATACAATCAGTGGAAGCAATCAGTTGGAATAACAGCCAGCGGAGAGATCAAACATGCTACTACAACTCTATTTAACCCAAAGCTGAGTCTGTGCTCCCACCTTTTATATAAAACGAGACCCCTACGGAGTAGCTTAACACATGACAATGAAAGAGCATTTTCAAAAGCTGTGACCTTGCTTTGCAGTCAAATATGAGCACTCACCAATTCAGAGACCATGATGGGCCACAGTGAGGTGAGATGCTGCGGAGAGATTCTTAGCAGCAAAACTCTGAAAAACAGAAACATCTGGGCAGCAACTATGGGTGTCTGTCCAACTCTGAGGTTGTCTGTCAGGCGTTCTAAGGAAAGAAGAGTTTAAAGATGTCACACAAACATGCAGTCTGGGGCTTCTCACTAGTCACAGAAGAAAACAAAACACTAATTGCTTTGTGCTTTTTGTCACTTGTTTTTGTAGTATTGGGGATGAAACCCAGGGCCTCCACACTGAACTATGTCCCCAGCCCCTTTATAATTTTAAATTATGAGACAGGGTCTCACTAAGCTGCTATACTGTTTAGGCTGCGCTGGAACTCAGGATCCTCCTGCCTCAGCCTCCTAGAGTGCTGGGATCACAGGTGTGCGGCCAATAACTCACATTTCAGGAAGAACTGTGTGACAGACTAACCGGCCTGCTGACCATGGACAACCTGTGGCAGACACAGTGTCTTGCAGGTGCGGAGTGCAAAGGGAAGTGAGGGAGTTTGAGAGATTTATCTGGCAAAATTTAGATTTGACAACAACAAAAACTTTAATTCTAGGCTGGGGATGTAGCTCAGTGGTGCCACACTGGTCTGGCAAGTGCAAGGTCCTGAGTTCGATCCCTGGGACCAGAAAACATGTGCTCATTGTGTGAGCCTTCTTCTTCACCCCTGAAAGCACAGCGACATCCTGCCTTGCTGGCCTGGAAGGGTAGGGGCCTGCAGATGACCACAGCCTAGCGGGAGGCCAACGGGCTCTGGCTGCAGCCCAGATTTTGCGTTAGTGGTGATGAAGCGTCAGGCAGGTGCTCCTCTGGGTATCAGCGCCTCATACAGAAATGGAGCCAATGGCACAGGCAGGGCGCACCGCTTTTCCCTCCACCTCATCCTGCTGCCGCAGTCACAGCCCTCTGGGAGGAGCAGTGCCTGTGTTCAGCTCACTGTAAAAACAGCTTTCCCTCCTCATTAAAAACGTAATTGCTTTTGAAGGAGTAATTTGCTTACTTTAGTTTCTCTTATGATCACAATGAGCACTCCTCTACCACACAGAAGGAAGAATCAGAGTCATTTTTAGGAAAACAGATGCATCTTGAGACCATGATGGTAAGTGAAATAAGCTTAAATATCAGACACAAAGGCTTAAATATCATGTGTTCTCTTACATGAGAGACCCAAAGTATAGTGGTACTTTGGTTCACAGATGTTTTTATTGGAAAACAATTTGGCTTAGAAACAGAAACATTTGGCAAAAAGATTTTTTTCAAACTGCATCAGGTAACAAACATAACCTCAGCCATCTTTCCCACAAAACACAAACGTGCCTAACTATCCTAAAATAGTAGGACAAATTAAGTTTGTGAACCAAGGTAGCACTCTACAAATAAATTAAAGAGCAAAGTGAATGATAGATAATAGGAAACAGGAAGATAAATCTTTTGCAAAAGGCAAGGGGATCAGGATGATGAAGGAGGGAAAGGAGAAAGAAAGAATTAGTATGTGTTATTACTTGCACCAATTCCTTGTAATGAATGTAATCATGAAGTACTGCAAACACTTACTAATACAAATGAAAAACCCATGCATTTTATAGCAGGTTGTAGTGGTGCATGCCTATAATTCCAGCACTCTGGGAGGCTGAGTCAGGAAGATCACAAGTTTAAGCCCAGCTGGGACAATTTAGAAGCTTAGCCAGATACAATCGCATAATAAAAAAAAAATGGGCTGAGGGTAGCTCGGTGCAAAGGCCCTGCCTGGGTCCTAGGTTCAAACCCCAGTACCACAAAAATGAAACAAAACAAAAACCCACAAAAAATAAAATTTCTGCATATTTAAGGTGATTGGATTATGGGGCTTATTGTTGACTTGATGTTAGAAGACAGGTCCTGGTTCAAGAGGCAGAACACGAGGCATGGCCCAGAAGTTTATCTCCCTCCCCAGCTCCTCCCTCACTCTGCTCTGATATGAGCAGCAGTCCTCTGCCCAGGCCCTTCCTCCATGCCACCGTGCCTTGGAGCTAGCTGACTATGAACTGAAATTTCTACAAACTATGAGGCAAAATAAACCCCTCCTCTTTTTTAGTTGCAGCGGTCAGGTATTTTGTCCCAGTGTGGAGAAAAGTGAATAAAACAGCTTTGGTACCATGAGTGGGGTCACTGCTATGATGTGACCTGACCATGTGCCTCAGAAGCCTTTGGACCTGGCTTATGGGAGGAATGTGGAAAGCTCTGAAGATGATGGCTGAAGAAGCAGCCCTAGCATGCTATAAGCTGAGCTTTACAGGAGATTATGGTCAGAGCTCAGAACACAAGAATGCTCACAGAGCCAGGTGTGGTGGCTCATACCTATAATTTTATAGTAGGGTATAGCGGTGACACCTGTTAATTCCAGCACTCAGGAGGCTGAGGCAGGATCACAAGAGCTTGAGGCCAGCCTGGTTACACAGTGAGTTCAAGTCCAGCCTGAACTATGTAGCAAGACCCTGTCTCAAAAGGAAAAAAAATGCTCACAGAAATGCAAATAGTAAAGGTCAGGCTCAGGAGGTTTCAGTTGGGAACAAGGACTCCATGTGTGTTATGCCCAGGCAGAAAATTTGTCTACAATTTGCTCCTGTCCTGAGACTTTGTGGGAGACCTAAATTAAGAGTAGTAGACTAAGCCAGGAGTGGTGTCACACACCTGTAATCCCAGCACTCGGGAGGCTGAGGCAGGAGGATCACTGTGAGTCTGAGACCAGCCTGGGCTGCATAGTGAATTCCAGGTCAGTCTCAACTACATAGTGAGACCCTGTCTCAAAAAACAACAACAATAAAACCCCCAAAACAACCCCCCCAAAAAAAAAACAAAAACAAAAACAAAAAAGAGTAGTAGACTAATGAATTTGGCACTAGAAATTTCAATGTAGTCCAACATTCAGGCTGTTGTATGGTTACTGTTGGGAGACTTTTAGCCAGCTTTATACTGAAAATCAAGAGCAAACAGAACAGCTGAATGACTTAAAAGTTTTCAGTTTGACTAGAAAGGAAGCTCCAATAAAGTTGGAACCTGCAAAGACAAAGCAGAGGAGGGCTTAGTTGCTAAAGGATTTAGCATTAGAAAGAAGCCCAGCATTTTACAACAGGACAATAGGAAAAATGACTTAAGACCATGTAAGGAACCAGCAAGGCCCCACCCTTCACAGGCTCAAAACTGCTAATGTGACAAACTGCTTTGAGACTCCCACGGCACTGTACTCCAGAAAGGTGACCTGTTAGGGAATTGGTTTATAGCACTCATCCACCCAGGCACTCAGAGACTTCCTCAGTCGTAATACAAGGCGGCCTGGTGACTGCTTGAGCAGGTGGCAGACCTTGGCATCCCTCATGTGGCGCTGCTGGTTTTACAGCCATGCAGAGTAAAAGAGTTGTGGGGTCAGGGAGGCTCATACCCAGGATTCAGAAAAAGGCTTGGGAGGCCAGAAATTGTGCTCCTGAGAGGGCAGTGTGAGAAGCTATGAGAGCAAAACTGAAAGGTCAATGGAGACTCCAGAAGGTGGAGAAGCCAGGAATGTGGATCATCTGAGGAGAGCTGCAGGCAGTGAGTAAAGCCAGCCCACAGAGAAGCTATGAGAGCTACAACCTCTGCAATGCCATTGGGATGGGCCTGCCCAACCATCTGGGTTCACATCGCTTCAACACGACTTGCCTCAGGAACTGGACATGGAACTATAGTATTTAATGTTCCAGTCTTGGTTTCTATCCCCTTTTGGAATGGGAATGTTTACCCTGTGCCATTGTATGGAAGTATTTAACTGCTTTTTGATTTTTATAGGGGCTCACAGGTAAGTTTGACTCAAAGGTGACATTGGACATGGACTTTTCAGCAGTGCTGAAACCATTAGGACACTGGCAACTCTTAGAGATGGACTAAATGTATTTTGGTTTTATTTTTATTTTTATTTTTATTTTTTTGGTACCGGAGATCAAACTCAGGTCCTTGTGTTTGCAAGGCAAGAAGCAGAACCACTGAGCCAAATCCCCAGCCTATTTTATTTTTATTTTTTTGAGACAGGGTTTCACTATGTAGTCGAGACTGATCTGGAACTCACTATGTAGCCCAGGCTGGTCTCGAACTCACAGCGATCCTCCTGCCTCAGCCTCCCGAGTGCTGGGATTATAGGCGTGGTGCGCCACCACGCCTGGCTGTTTTGAATAAAGAGATGTGCATGAGTCTTTGGGAAGGGGCAGAATGTTATGGTTTGTATTTAGATGTTCCCAGAAAAAGCTTAGGAGCTCAAAAGTAGGATTTTTTTTTTTTTTTTTTTGCACTGCAGATCAAAGTCAGGTCCTTGCGCTTATGAGGCAGGCAGTAAAAGTAGGACTATTGAAAGATTACTGGATTGTGGGCCTTACAGCTGACTTGCTGTTAGAAGGTGAGCCCCGATGGAAGAGGTGGGTCGCTGAGGGAGTAAAGGCTCCTCCCTTTGCTCTACTTCCTGTCAGCCCTGCTGTGAGCACTCTCCTCTGCCAGGCTCCACTGCCATGCTGTCCTGCCTTGGAGACAGGTGGCTATAGAATGAACCTCTACAATCTCTGACCAGAATAAATCTCTCCTCCTTTTAGTTGTGGGTGTCAGGTGTCTTGTCCCAGAGAGGAGGAAAGTGACTAAAATACGTGAAGCCTCCTGGTACTCTGGGAGAATGAGGCAGGAGGATGGCATGTTTTAAGCCCAGCTTGAGCAACTTACCCGACTTGAGCAACTGTCCCAAAATTTAAAATATAATAAAAAAGGCTGGGGATGGAGCTCAGTATGAAGGTATTGGGTTCAATCCCCAGTACCAAATCCAAACCCAAACCAAGACCTGTCAGGTAAAGGTGCAACATCCCAATCATGAATGCAACTGTACTGTATACTTAAAAGTACCAACAGACTCATTAAGATAAAAAAACAAGAAACAAAAAACAAACCCAAGGAGCATCCTAAGTATAGGAGGAATCTTGTGGTAGACAGTGTGGAGAAAGCATTATTCCTGCACTGTCCTGTAAGACTTTTAATCTACCCAATAAAGACAAATACTATAACTGGCTTTGAAAATGAAGTTTCAGATCTGCTGATGTGTATCCGTCTGTTCCTACAGTGTGAGGGACTGAAGCCAGCGCCTGGGCCCGCTGGCCGACACTCTACCACAGAGCCACACCCCAACCCTACTGATGCACTCGAGAAACCCAGGGATCCTCCAGAGAATACGCATTTAACACCTGACGACTGCATCCAAACGTGAACATGCCACGGGCCCCTCTAGGCCCTGGGTTTATCTGTGCTGGGGCAATGCTGTGGTTGGGATGTTTGTTCTGTCCAAGACACACTGAGATTTAACAGCCGACGTGACAGCACTGGGAGGTGGGGCCTCATGGGTGGGACTGGAGTCCGCACAAAAGGGCAGACTGGGCCCTTCCTTCTCTCTTGTCCTTCTGCTTTCCCGTATGGGATGGTGCAGACAAAGCTGGTGCTATGATTTGTGTTTAGAGATCTCCCAAAGCCTCAAGCAGATGAGGTGGGACTTTCTTTTTCAGAGGAGGCTGAATCTGGAATGTGTGATGCTGGGGTTAAGGGCCTGTGGTTACTAAACCACTGCATGTGAGCGATTAGTTTGGCATCACTGTAATCCTGGGTGCCCAAGTAAGATAAAAGGGGCAGAAAGACACTGGTAACCCTCTTGCTGCCTTTGCTGTCTTGTGTGCGCCACACTGTTCCTCCTCTGTGATGCCTGTTTGCCATCCCCGCCTTGGAGCCAGCTCATTATGGACTGAACCTCTGTGAACTGTAAGCCAAATAAACCCTTCTCCCTTCAACTTTGGATTGCAGGTATTTTGTGTCAGCAATGAGAAAAGTAACTAACACACCCATCCAGGCTGAACTCCAGCCTCTAGAGCTGTAAGCCAGCCAAGCTCTGATCACCAGGCACCATTTTGTTCCAGCAGCACAGGGCACACGGAGCCTTACCTTGGATCAGTGGGAGGTAGAGGTGGTACTGGTCAAGTTCTCCACTGAATACAGCAAAAGCCTGGCGCTTTAGCAGCATGGCTTTCTGCTCAAAACTCGAGAATAGTTTTAAAGAACTGCTCTGCATGTCTAGAATAAAATATATAGCATATAAATCACAGTCAGAAAAATGACCAATGGTGGCAGGAAATTCAGAGCAGGGTAATTCCTGTCTGTTGAAAAATTACTATCTCAATTAAGTGACTGAATGTGACTATTGTGCCCACGGACTGGAAAACACCCTCCTCTCATTCCTGGTACATAACGGCAGAGCAGGAGAAAGGCTCTGAAGTGCAGACGTGTTCTGGGTAAGTTACGGAAAAGTTAGTACTTTCAACACCACTGTCAGGATGTGAACCAGGCCCTCTCAGCAGCACTTCCCCACTACGACGCTGCCAAAGAGGCTGTGGGGCTTCTTGGCCAATGCTGGAGCAGGGGAGACTCGCTGGGTCCTGACGCATTCAGTGCCTCACAGCAGAGTTTATAGCTTAGCACCTTAAAAAGTTTGAGTGATCCTAAAACACGAAGTGAAAGCCGCTTATGATGGCACTGACCCGCAGGTGTGACAAGTAACACAGAACTCACTCATTAGATCCTTAAACATCGTTTTCTCATGAGTCAGGAGATGGTCAATGATGGACTTCCAACTGGGTATTGAAAAAAGCAAAGTTAATTAAATTTGCAACGGATGACAATCTGATTAAAAGCATCAAGATGATAACATCCCCTTTAAGGTGTTAAAAACTGCTTTCTGAAGAGAGGTTAGTGACACAGAGAATTTTATACAAGGAAGGCCAAACAAAAGCTTTTCTTCATAATCCTTTCCAGAGCTTAGCATAAAGAAAACACACACTGGTGGGTAGTCCGGCTTTTCCAAGGGTGGCCCTTAAACTCGTTCATGTGGGATGATTTTCAGAGTTTCGGTGATGAAGTAGGGGGGACGTAAAGACAAACAGCACCCCTTAGCTCTTACTTCCGGAGGGCTAGTTTGGGGTAACCACAAGAGCAACGGGTTACAGTCTGCCCTCTGTACGCATGGGTACCGCACCCCAGATTCAACTGACCACGGGTTGAAAAAATTAAAAAAAGAGCACTGTGTCTGTACTGAATATATACACTTCTTCATGCCACTGCTCCCCAGACGATGCAATCCAGCAAGCTGGTTACATAGCGCCGACATTGTGTTAGGCACCGCAAGCCTCTTTGGGATGATTTAAAGGATGTGGGGAGTTGTGTACACGTTCCAGGTGGATGTTACACCACTGTGGGTCCAGGAGAGGAGCACTGGTGGATTTGGGTACCCATGGGACCGAGGGACACTGTTCGAGGACGGGAGGAGCCAGGCTCCATGCGGCCTTAGGTTGGAAAGGCTTTGGGGCTGGAAGAAAAGGCTGCCCAGTACCCGCCCTCTGTCCCAGTGCCTCCGGTCAGTAGGAAAAGTTCGTTCTGCAAGCTGAGGGCTGGATGGGGGGACAGCTGGGTGGATTTCCTAATCTCAGTGCTCTCACATCTGTGTCTCCAAGGGTCTCTGTTGCCAGCCTGCTACAAAATATGTACAGTTTCTCGGTGCGTGAGCCGAGAAGTGGGGTCTGCCATCGCAATGCTGGTGAACGCTTCATGGTTACCAAATAAAGCATCACAGCCAGCCAAGGGGATGCACGCCTAGAATCCCAGCACTCTGGGAGGCTGAGGCAGGAGGAGTAAAAGTTCAAGCCCAGCCTGGGCAATTTAGCAATTTAGCAATACCGTTCCTCACAATATAAAAGGGCAAAGGAAGAGGTTCAGTACAAAGGTCCAGGGTTCAGGCCCCAGTACCAGAAAAACAAAAATGTAACACTTCTCTGGTAAACACACTGTTAATGTAGGAACTTGGCACTGTGCTGGGCTGATCTTATGGGCCTGCTTTCTCGTCAGCAAAGAGAACTAATTACAGAAGCAAAACAATGAAGACTCCGAGTGCATTTTCATCAGGACAGCATTTCTTACTGAACACAGGAAGTATCCATCTGAAAGAAAGTGGGGTCCAGGAACAAGTCCAGCACTTCCTTCTTCCAGGCCCGCTTCGTGTAGGCATAGCCGCTCAGTGAGCTCAGCAGCTGCGCGCTGGCCCGGAAGCTTGGCACATTGTAGGCACTGGCGGGGCGGAAGAGAGTCGGGTTAGAGACCACTGAGGACAGTCAGCCCATTGATCTCTCGCAGCACACTTCTCTGCATTCGTGGGGGCGACCTCACCTGTGATTGCGCAGGTAAGGAAAAACGTAATAAAGCAAGCGGGAGATCAATGGCACTGCTTTGTCTTTCTCATCACTTCGATAAACCATGTCCAGGAGAGAAGCCAGGACCTGGAAGATGGAGACCAAAAGGAAACAGAGACCTGAAGCAAGGGACGGGAAGCGTCGCCCTCTAGGCAGAACCTCAGAGGCCCCACAGGTGCAGGCTGAGGCCTGCTATTCTTGGCATCTGGGTTGTCCCCCCACCGACCACATGACAGGTCACTAGGAGGCACTGGAAACTCTAGTGGGAGGAGATCAGGGCATGGTGGCGTGCCCGGGAGGGGATATAGGGACTTCCTCTCTCTCTCCTTCTCTCTCTCTCTCTCTCTCTCTCTCTCTCTCTCTCTCTCTCTCTGTCCCAGCCGCCACGTTGTGAGCAGCCTTCTTCTGCAGCACTCTCTCTCCACCATGAGATCTGCTTTACTGCAGGCTCGAGACAAAAACCAAACCACCATGGATCAAATCCTCTGAAACCATAAGCCAAAATGCACCTTTCCTCCATTTAAATTGATTGTCTGAGATAGTCTGTTATGGAAACAGGAAGCTGACTGTAATACCAAGGCCACACTGGAGCTCACAGCACCTGAGGCTGGCAAATGTTACACAAGGGCCCACCGGGCAGGTGTGCACTTACCTCGGCCAGGAGAGAGAGTGCTTGCACACTGTAAACTGAGGGCGCAGATGCTGACACCATGGCTGAAGCCGCAGCAGCATCTGATGGCAGAAAGGGGTGTTTGTGTTTAACCACGGCGATGGCCCCATCACTGTCCCCAAAGCTTTGCGTAACTTGTACAGTAAAACTGTAAACCCTATATTTTGCTAAAAAGTATTTTATGTTTGATCAAACATAATTCCACATTCTTGGTCCCAGATGACAATTATTTTATATTTATATTATGACCAGATAACATATATAAGATATAAATGGTACTGACATCAGGATCTGAAATAAACAATGCATCTGGTCAGCATCCATTGGTTCTGTATATTTCAAGAAACACTTAAATATACAAAGGAAGCGTGCAATGTTTAAGAAATGAAGTGAACAGTGTTGGTGGCTCGTATAATGGAGAAGCCAGTGTCCTTCAGGAAACTGAAGATACTCAGAAGCTGCCCCCCAGTTTCTGTTAACAACATTCTGCAAATGAACGTTCCATTTGATATAAATGTACAAATTTAAAGTGTGCAGTTCAGAATGGCCTACCAGGTTTAGATTGCTTATGTGCCAGAAAATATATAGTCAATAAAAAAATACCAGAGAGGTGGGGACAAAAGGCTCTCTGGATCTGTACAGCAAAATGAACATGACTTCAATAGGCAGTGATTCAGTGCTGAAGTGGCATCCTTGGAACCAGGAAGCATTGGAAGATGGTAGGTCACAAATCTGGTGACAGGGGATAAGGTGTATAGTAAGGCCCATTTTCCCTGGCATCATATTCAAGGACAAAAGGAGGAAAGTCGATCTGTTTTGGTGATATGGCAGAAAACAGCTGGTGCAGACTGTCCACATGGTGAATTTTGTCCTTCAGTCCTGAGACAGAAAAGGTGGTGAAAAACCATGTCGATACCTTTGAACGAAATGTTGGATGTACAAAATAAACAGCTTTCAAATTCCTCTTGTACTTGACATCAACAACATCATAGGGTTTCTTCAGGAAGTCAGAGTCCAGATGATTGTATTTGCTGGTCAGCGTGTGAAAATATACTAATACATATTCCTTCACAGCAATGTGAGCCATTACATGGATAAAATATAAGAGAGCCTTATCCATATCTATCAGTGTGACAGGAATGTTTCTTCCAACTACTACCATCATTGTACGGCCACACCTGTTATCCATACCTGTTTGGTATAAAGCTTTCAGAGATGCAGTATCAGACACATCTTCAGATCTTGCTTGACACACTAGCGATTATAATTTCTTTGATGCTGCTTCTGCAGGGCTGCCTCAGACAACTGTCCCTGAAGGATCAGTTTTCTTTGCTTATCAATATCTCCTTCCATTCGAGCAAAAGCATGAGAGCCAATGAAAGGCAGATCGTCTCTCAAGCCTTCATCCTCTTCTTGGTTGTCCTCTGGAGCACCAGGTTTTTCACTTATTCTGATCTGCCGTTCAGGCACTACAGGCTCCTCTTCAGCGTTTCCAATGTCTGCAGGTAGGTATGGCAGTGATGATCGACTCTCCTCCTGTAATGACCCTGGGAAGTGCAGAGGTAGCTGCTTTTGGTAAGTAGCCTCTTCAAGTTCAGAGACAGCAGATACTACTTTTTCAATGGCACCCCATGAATCTCTAGGAATCTCCTTACAGTACAGAGTGCTATGTGTGTTGCATCCTCCAAGGGATAACTTCGTTTTGCAGAATTGATGACACAGAATCCAACAGAAGACATTGACTGCTCTTTTGCTAGCTGAAGTACATTTCTGTAGCAGCTGTAGAGGGAACTCTCAGCTGCTGTGCGATAGTGGTTCTTCTACTTTGGCCCCACTGTGTGAATGATGAACCGAGCAGCTAGATTAAATCCTTTTGTCAATTTTGCTTCACCTGTTCGGCAACCTTTCAGCTTCTGTAGGTCCTCCTTCAAAGCAGGCCCTGCAAGCATGAAGATACTTTCTGACACAGGGTTCTTACCTGTGAGGTTTTTCATTGCTGGTATCCACAATGGCTGTACAGTTCAATAATGCCACATCACCTTTCCAAAGAACCACTTTTCCATTGATAAGCTTATTAAAAGAAAAGGTGATCTAATAATATCTTCCTGAAATGTTTCAGCTGTAGTATCAGAAGAATATAATTCATCTTCACAAGTCACCCCAGCTTAGCAGAGTATCCACATCCACAAACTAGGAAGGTGCACCCAAGGGATCCATGGAATGAGTTTCAGCTTGCCTTTTTCCAAATTCCTCAGCAATTCAATAATCCCTGAAGACTTTAGCCAGTTCTACCCGAGCTGCTCTGGGTGTGTGAAACGCCCAGTCCACAGGGGTGGCAGCAATGGGGCTCCACCACTCGCTTCCCAACAAATGCCCAGCACATCCCAGGACGCACATATCCTGGGCTTCGGTGCCACAGTCCCTGCACCTGCCTCTGTTTACCCTCGCTCTTCTCATGGAGACTTGGTTCATTATTCTTTATCCCTTACTTCTTGTATACTATTCTTTCATCCTCTGCCGGGTAACTAATTGGTGGTCGGGCAATCAGCCTCATGCAAGCCCAAACAAACTTCTGTTTAGAAATTAACCAGCCAGTAGGCACACTGAGGAGAGGAGGCCAAGGCGCACAAAGCCTCGGCCAGGCTGGTGTGGACGCTGCAGTATTCAACCCTCTTCTGTCTGAGGAGAACCCTCGCCCGCGGAGCTTGCGGCTGCGTTTACTCCAAGCTAGTTTGTGGGTTACGGTCCTCACTGCACCCCCAAGTTTACAATGAAATAGTTTGCTTTTAGAATGATCTCCGCACTCTACAGTAGCAATAATCTTTGGAAACAAAAGATCATTCTATGTATAGCATTCTGTTTTCAGTAGTGTATTCCGTTTATAAGATACGGTAATTCTGGCCCACTTAAACGAATGCTGAAATTTTGTTTTTCAAAATAGGAAATGAAGGCAGTATGCTTTTTCCTATGTTCAGACTTAAAAAAAAATACAAAAACAACTTTCCAATCTCTCCTTCCGCCCCCAGCTGTGTAAGTATGACAGAAGTGAAAACGGTCCACGAGGCAGATTGCAGGTTGCTGTTGACATACGGATACACGTGACATAACCAGTCAGGGTACTTAACATCTCCATCAGCAATGATCTTGCCTATTCCTGTTTTCTGGTGACAACACTTAAGGTTTCACTTAAGGAAAAAGTAGTGAGACAATGAGGGGTGCAGGGACAAAGGGTGGGCACAGGCTGGGCCTTACCTCAGGGCCTGTGACCATTGAAGCCTGCCACGCACTCTCCCCTGGCCCGCACCAGCTACACAGAAGCCCAGGCTCATCAGTAGAACCAGGCTGGCCTCGCCACGGTATCCAAAACTACACTGGGTGAGAGAGCAGGACTGCTGGTGATGGAAGAGGGACAAAGGACACACAGGGTCCCAGGCCCTTAGACTGGTGATCTGTGTTTTCCTCCATTCACCTTGTCCCACCTAGGTGTCCCCAGAACTGCTGCAGCATCCATCCAGGCCAGGATGTTTACGTGGGATGGGATTACAGATGGAAAGGTGCAGCAGCTGCTAGGACTCACAGGCCACCCCTTCCTTAAGGGCAGAGGTTTGCTCAGGAAGAGAAAACACCTTTTGAAACTCGTGTCCAGGATCAGTATAAATTGCTGAACTTCAGTCTACCCCTGCAATAGTGCACATGAATAAAAAGTCTTGCTGCTGTTTTTGTTTGTTTGCTGTGCAGGGATTGAACCCAGGGCCTTGGCAGTGAGCTACAACTCCAGCCCTTTTTATTTTTTGAGACAGTCTCGTTAAATTGCCAGGAGGGACTATTTGCCATCCTCCTGCCTCTTCTTCCCAGATTGCTGTGATTACAGGCACACACCATGGCACCCAGCCACTGCCCTTGGTTGATAAGCAACAGCACGAGTCTGTCTCCTGCTCAGGCAGAAGGGCCTTGGCCCTCTCTCTCTCTCTCCCTCAGCCTCCTGGTGGGGTTCTGCATGCTCACACTTCTCGGCCTGGCTCTTCATTTCTGTAATCACTGGGTCAAAGGAGGGTCGGCCAGTACCACTGGGAGCCCAGCTGACTGCGAGTGGCACTTCCAGCCCCAGCACCTACCGTACGGATCTTCCTCCGTGTCCGATTGTTCTAATGCGACCTGTGGCTGGGCCTTCACCTCCAGGTTCCTACTGAGCCAGCTGGTTTGTTCCAAGGAAGAGCCAGCGATATTCCCTACGGCTTCCAGGATCTTCTGTGTGATCTCCTGAGACCCAGAGGAGGAAAGGAAGTCAGTTAAAGGCAAGAAGTCGGTGCCTACAGCTAACATAGTCCAAGTGAGGAATGTAAGTCATGGCCGTGATTCCTAGAGCAGTGTTAAATGGTAAAAAGCAACAGAGACAAGTAATTTTAATAATATGTTCTATTTAACCCGACTACTCCAAAAATACAATCAATACAAAAATGATTAATGAAATCTTACACTTTTTTTTTTTTCTTTTTTTGAGATAGGGGCTCACTATGTAGTTTCAACTAGTCTTGAACTGTGTAGCCCAGGCTGACTTTGAACTCACGGTAGTCCTCCTGCCTCAGCCTCCCCAATGCTGGGATTATAGGGACCACTGTGCCCAGCTCAAGAGGCCACTGTTTTTGACCAAGCTGCTGGCACTAGTTCCAATGGGCCAGGCCACAAATTAAAATGGAGACACTTGGGCTAAAGTTCACGTCACCAAGCTGAAACTCAGCTGTTTATCCGACCCTCTGAGAAGTCTGGATTAGAGAGACAACAACCACGTTTCTGAAACAGGCCGCTTTCCATGAGCCTGAGAATGAAGCCTCTCTGCTTTAATCTTTGCACAAAAAGGAACCTGAAGTAACCTGAAATTAACCAATTAGGGTTTTCTGGTCACTATCTGCCTCCCTGTACCTTCTTTTACAAGGAAAAGAACTCTGAAAGGACCATGATACACTTCTGTCTCTGTTCTGCTGCCCTCCTCTGTCCACAAAGCACACCCTGCACTCGGCCCATGGGAACATGGGTTCTGTTTTACGGAATGCAGGGTTGCCCATTTCTAGACTCTCGAGTAAAGCCACTCAACACCTCTAAAGGAAACGGTTGTAAGTCTGTCTTTTCACCCTGGAAATGCACATTTCCACAATGTGAAAAGAACACTGAACAAACTGAGAGGAGGGGTAAAGGGGATGGGGAGCACGGCCAGTCAAGTGTGCTCAGCGGCCAGCAGGAGATGACAGCCTGGGCAGCATCACGGCCAGTGCTCCCACCTCGCCAGGCCATTCCGGCACCGCCAGCCGTGCAGCTGTCACTGCAGACAGCACAGAGCTCAGCAGCCCTGACCTTGTGACGCAGGCTCACAGCTCAGCAGCTGGAGATGGAGGGGTGCACTGGCTGGCTCTGAGGAGGAGTGAAGTGATGGCCCAGGGCACTGGGTGATGGCTGTGACGCTGTGAAACTCTCACAACTGTTCTTCTCACCTCCCAGGCACTGCAGCCCCGCCATCCTTCTCCTGCAGAATGACAGGCACCCTCTGGAATGCAGCAAGGCTGGGCAGGGGCTGGGGGCCCTCAAGGGCTTCAGGATAGGGCCGGGCCTGGACAGACCGAGGCACGATTAGAAGGCTGAGACTCTTACTTAGCCCAGGCTCCCAGCTCCCAGGAGGGGAGAGGACTGTACTGGCTGTGCCTTTACAGAGAAGCTGTCGTGAAAACTGTGCAGGCTGGGTGGAGAGAGCGGCCCTGTGCTAGAAACACCAGGGTTCCTGGAGGCTTGTGTCTGGCCAAGGCATGCAGGAATGCAGCCTGCCCCACAGCTGGCCACCGTGTCCTCTTCGCCCTGAGCTGCCTTGATCAGCATGGCAGGAAAGTAGTACGTACATTTTCCTGAGTTCTGTGAGCTGCTCTAGCAAATCAAGTGACAGTGCCATCTGGTGTCAGGGGCTTGAGCATGCGTAGAAGCTGGTGTTGGTGTGTGGGGTCTTCACGCTAAGGGGTACAAGTCTACATCAAAGCCTTTGACAAAAAGCCAGTTGATGTTTCTAATAGTGACAAAGTGCTGATTTTCAAACTCCCTCATGACATTCGTGTTTACTAGTTGACATTCTACTCGAACAAGCTTTTCTGTCCTTCAGACAAGTTTTGCTTTTGTTTTTCAGTATTTTTAAAATTTCGAAGAGCATATAGTGCGTTTACAGCAGGGGACAATAAAAGGGTTTAAGGGAAGCCCTGCATGCATAGTTTCTGCTCCCAGATGAGCCCTGCAGACCTGCACGCCCCGGGAGAGCCAGGGGCACCTGCTCCACTGTGATCAAGTGTCACAAGCACGCTCCGACCTGCCCGACCCCTTCAGGGCGGGGGGCAGGCCTGTGAGCAAAGACAAAGCAAGCAAAGACAAAATGAGGAGGGGATTCCAAGCAGTGCTTCCCACTGGCAATGACACCCCCTAGAGGTGGAATGGGTGTCAGGGCTGGATGGGACAATGACACTGTGCTAAACCCCGCCCGCCCCCCACAGACCTGTAAGTCTTTTTGATCCTTCTTGCTCTCCAAGTTGGGAGTTCTGGTTACAAAGTCATTCAGCAGGCTGTAGAGATAATCAGCTTCTGATCAAAAATGCTGCAGAAGTAAAAATACTCCCCAATAAAATACTAGGTCCAGGGATGGGGATTTAGCTCAGCGGTTCGGTGGCCTGCCTTGCAAGTGTGCAAGGACCCGAGTTCAATCCCCGGTACAAAAAAAAAATACTAGGTCCATGTGAAGGGCAGGGGTTGATACCTGAGGAGCAGAAAATACCCAGGGGGTGCCAGATTCAACTGCACAGATTCCTTCAGGACCCCCAACAACGAGAGAAAGTTCTCTTGCAAGGCTGATGCTGGGAGCCTGTTTAAAAGAAAAAATTGGATAAAGATATTCAACCATGGGCAAATGAAAACACGACATTTGCTTATAAGCACCTTTTAGATCTAAGAGTTAGAGAACAGAGGGGAAAACAGCATGCCTGACTTGTTTCTTATTTTTGATTGAGTGATTAAGGCAGGATCTCACTATGTAGTTCAGGTTGGCTTTGAACTCACAGCAAACCTCCTGCCTCAACCTCCTGAGCGCTAGGATTACAGGTGTGCGCCACCATGCCTAGCTTTTTTTGTGTGTGTGATGGTTCCAGGGATCGAACTCAGGACTTTGTGCTTGTGAGGCAGGCTCAGTGCCACTGAGCTAAATCCCCAGCCCCATGCCAGCTTTAAAAAAATTTTTTTAAATTAAAATACACCTAAGCTCAATTTTGGTAAAATGGCAAGCACTTGGGAGTTAGCAGACCTGGAATGCCAGTAGTTAATACCCTCCTGGTTTTGTGTATAAAATAAAAGCCTCATGCTAGAGGACGGGCTTTGATCTCTGCTTGGCCTTTCTAACATTCTGCTTCCCTGACAGATGCATCATCTGTCAGCAGGCTGCAGAGTGGCAGATCAGGGGACAGCCCCCAGGAAATAGTGTCCTAGGCCAGGCCTCCGGGGAGCCAGGAGGAAGTGACGTTGAGGCTCCAGAGAGAGGTGGTGACGTGGCAGGCTGCTAAACCCCAGGAGCAGACAGGGTCCTAGTCTCCAGCTCACTGCCTCCCATCCAGCCAGGCAGGGCCCACTCTGTAGGACAGGATGACACAGCATCCCCTCCAGCTGCCAAAAAGCCTCAGAAATAGAGGAGACTTCTCTGACTACTCCTTAATTTTATGACATTGCCACCATAAGGAGGAAGTGACTGGCTCATCTTAACCCTTGGAGGACAGAATGGCAAGGATGGTCAAGGGCCGACATGTATCAGATGGGTCTGAATTTACGCCCAGACCCAGAGGCTCCTGGGTTCCCAACCCTCTGCATTGCAGGTGGGAATCCCCGTGGTCACTGTGTAAACCACGGAGCCTCCAGTGGTTGTCAGGGTCACTTACTGGCCAATTCCTGGTGGCCATGTAAGGCACCTGACATTGCCTTGAGAATACATCTGTGCCCTCTTCCCTGTTCACTGCTCTGGGAGGGCCTCGCCTAGTGGAGGGCTTTGGGAGACGAGCTTGTGATGTTCCTGGTGAGAGCTCTGGAGCCCAGATTGGGGGCCTCTTGGGTGGGGAGTCCTCCTCCCTCCTCCCACAGACTGAGCTCAGGCACCTCTGCTGAGCAACGTGTCCTGCACAAACCATCAGCAACACTGTCAACACCACAGAATCATTTCCCAATTTTCTCAGAAGGCTTTAACACATTCTACTTGTGGGTTTTTTTTTTTTTTTTTTTTTTTTTTTTTTTTTTTTTTTTTTTAGATCAGTTTAACACAAGTCTGAATCTTTTAAAGTTTGATAGGTCTCACATAAAGCTTTGATGAAATTAAGTCTTCAACATATAGTGCAGATTTTAACATGTCAGGTCCAATCTGGGAGAAGAAGTAAAGACACTCCAGCCATTCCTGTGCACCAGGAGGAAATGAAGACACCTGAGAGGCGCCCTTGACCAAGGCTCTCCTGCTACTATTCACGGTCACTGCGCGCAACTCGGAGATGGCTCTGAGGGCCGCATTACCTTTGCAGAAAAGCGTAGCAAAACTGCAACACAGGGATATCCACGAGAGGTGACTTCTGAAAAGGAAAGCAGTGCCCATGACTTCAGGTCGGTACCTATTTGGCTATCAAAGAATTCAAATACAAAATGAAACGCTCTGTATTCTAATCCAAGACGTTAGCCAAAGAATTTTCAAAGACACCACACGGGACAGCAGCTCCGGTGGACAGCAAAACCAGTATCCCCTGAGGTCTCAGATGCTGGTCCCCTGGGGGCCGAATGCCATGGTGTTTTCCCACTCTGGTCATCTCTGTCCTGTGTTTCCCCCAGGACTCAGACAGAATTTATAAGTGAGCCTCCCCAAACAGAGCTGGGGGTAAATAAATGCCTGTGATAACTGACAGACAGGAGACAAGGAGAAATCCTAGTTCCTCAATCCAGCCCAGATAATGTCTCTAAAATCCTAAGTGTCTAGAAGCTGTTCCAAATTAGAGGTTCCCCCTCTCTGCATAGAAAAAGCTACTTGCAGAAAGTGAGCCAATGAACTGAACTAACCACAGACAGAAGTTTCATTATTGGAACCACCACAAATCAGTCACCAGACAGATCTAGTTCCTTTATTGGCCTAGACAAAGCAGGAAGCTGCAGACTTTCAGGCAGTATGAAGGAAGCAAACTCTGAAGGGTCGTCTGTGCCCCTGGGAAAGTCGCACAGAGCGGCCCCTGTGTAAGGAGGGTCATCTGGGGCCCTGGGACTCGCTCAGAATCCTAAACACACAGCACCAAGGATGCCTGTGCCCCTTCCCGGCTGAGCTGCTTCTCCAAGTGTGTCTAAGAGTGAATGGCAGCGGGGTGACCATGCAACCTCAGAACGCCTGGGGCAGAGCTCGAGAGGGGCTGCACCAGTCGTCTGCGTCTCTGCGTGTGTACCCCACTCCCACAATCTGCATGCGCAGTGTCAACTTCAGGGCAGTGCCTCCTCAGTTCCCATCTACTGTCCACCCTAGAGTAAGTGACCCACTTCCCAATGCACACAGCTGATCTTCCATCGGTGTGAAGCCGGGGACCAGGGAACCTGAGCGAAGGGGTTGGCTAAACTCACCCAGGCCAGGCCCTCGGGCCCGGGAACCTGAGGGGGCTGCCCTGTGCCGCGTGCAAGAGACCCCTCAGAAGGAAGCAAAAACAGGACCAGACATCGCGCAGGTGGCTGTGCTCCCTGAGCACATCTGTGGAAAGTGTTAAAAGGGCTGGGCATGTGGCTCAGGGGTACAGTGCTGCCTAGTAGGTATGAGGCCCTGGATTCAATCTCTAGTAATGCAAAACAAAAACAAAAACAAACAAACAAAAAAACCCAACCACATAGCTGGGTGTGGTGGTGCACACCTATAATCCTAATATTCAGAAAGCTGCGGAAGGAGGATGGCCTTGAGTTCAAAGCCCACCTGTGCTACATAGTGAGTTCAAGGGCACTTTAGGCTACACAGCAGGACTCTGCCCCAACACCACCACCCCCTGCCGAGGCCTTCATATTCAGTGGTCAGTTTTCCCACTGAGGTTAAAAAAATGGTGGAAAGAAATTTCTGATCCCAAAGAGTTCAGCTTTTGCTCACCAAGCCCAGTGCTACACCTCCAGTAGCCAACATACATTCATTTCTTATAATACAGAAATTTTTTTTGGTTTGTTTTTTGAGACAGGGTCTCATTGTGTAGTTGAGACTGACCTGGAACTCACTATGTAGCCCAGGCTGGTCTCGAACTCACAGCAATCCTCCTGCCTCAGCCTCCTGAGTGCTGGGATTACAGGCATGTGCCACCATGCCCGGCAAATACAAAATATTTTTACCGTGGCAACATATATACAACATAACACTTAGCACGGCACCATCTGTAAGCCCCACAGGATTAAGCTCACCTGCGGGGTACCCAGTACTGCCATCCCTCTCCAGGACTTTCTCATCTTCAAACTCTGCATTCAGCAAGCCCTGACTCCTGCCCCAGCCACTGGCCTTCCCCGCTCCACTTCTGTCCCGCTGACTCGACTGCTCCAGGGACCTCCAAGCAGGAGAATCTCCCGGGTCTAGGATGGACTGTCACTCGGCAAAATTTTCTCCAGGTTCCTCCCCTGCAGCCAGGCAGGAGTGTGTGTCTCACCTCAGATCTGCTGAGTGCAGTGTGTGCTCGGGCTATTTGTACCTTCTGGCACCTGTGAATGCTACTGACGGCTGTGACTATCGACCACTGTCGTTTGAATGACAAGACATGTATTTCTCATAACCACGATCCATTCCACTAACTGCCTAAGTACACTTCTGAATTATTCCATAGAAGGCATTTATTTCAAAGTTGAAAATTATTTTAAGGCAATTATATGAGGAGGTATCTAGAGTAAGTAGTAAAATTCATTTAAGACTGAAATAAATCCTGGGCCAGGGATTTAGCTCAGTGGTTCTGCCACCTGCCTTGCAAGTACAGGGTCCCGAGATCAATCCCCGGTACCAAAAAAAGATTGAAATAAATCTTCTTTCTATCAAGTTTATCAAGGAAGAGCTAAACACCTTCTACACTTTCAATGACAAAGGTCTGCTCTGCTTAAAAACAAAAGCCTCTGAAGACAGAATTGAGCCACACAGCCTGTTCTGTCCCAAATCTACTCCATATAACTGAAAGAGGTCTTTTTTTATGCTGTAGCAGCACTGAGGATTAAACCCAAGGCCTACCACATGCTAGGTGACTGCTGTAGCACTGCAGTTGGGTCTCATTAAACTTCCTGGGCTGGTCTTGATCCTCCTGCCTCAGCCTCCTGAGTAGCTAGGATTACGGATGTGTAGACCACGAGGGACTAAATGAGGTCTTGATACTCCAGGGACCTCCTGGCCCACTGTGCAGGAACTGGGCAGAATGACTATAGCTCAATCATAGCCAGTTTCACTGTAGCTAGGTAAAACCTCTTCTTTCTTGAAGGGACATTCAGAAACTTTAACTGGCCTTTGCCACACTCTAGCCCGGCTCCTCTGAGGCTTCCTGACCTGGCCTTAACCAGAAACTACAGCTTCTAGCCCAGAGGATCCCTCCTCTTGCCGCCTCCCAACAGCACAGGGCTGCAACCCAGCCGAGAGCCCAGCCCCACAAGCATGCACCTGCCCCTGAGGTCAAGGTCACCTCAGAAAGAACCCTTTCCTTCTCCCTTTAATCACACAAACTGGAAGTGAGCCCCCCCACCCGAGGCAGCGTGACAGTTACCCCACCCATCCGCTATTGTAAGCACTTCTCAGTGTTTTGCCCTGATTTATCTTTGACACCTTTTAGACTGTAAATTCCTCGAGGGGGTGACATGTCCTCTAGTCTCTGTTCTGAACTGGAGCTCCAGGCAGGGTGCACTGCAGCAGGGCTCTACAGACGGAGAGCCTGGTCTCAGGGTGTGAGTCTCCCCAAAGCAATGACAGTTCCATTTCCTACATCGGTTTCCACCTGCTTCCCCCCTGAGCACAATCTATAGGTGGTGGCATTTGGAAGTCCCCCCTACGTTGCAGGCCCTGGGGGCAGCTGCCAGGACTCCCGGCCTCACCTCATCCCCTCTGATCTGCAGCGGCCTCTTCACCACCTCCTTCACCAGGTGCAGCACCGTGTCGGTCTGCAGGGTGCTGAGTGCGCAGACCAAGTCGACAAGGGTGAGCTGGGTCGTGCTCGCCAGTGGGATGATCTGCAAGGGAGAAAGCACCTCTGAAAGCTTACAGGGAGAAAAGAAAAAGAAAACAACACGCAAAAGGATTATACAGGCGGTCCCTGGAGAAATGAATCTGCTTCGATCCTTTATTTACTTTTTGGTACCAGGGATCAAACTCAGGACCTTGCCCTTGCGAGGCAGGCGGCGGAACCACTGAGCTAAATCCCCGGCCCCGGCTTTGATCCTTTAGACAAACATTTCCCATGTACTAGATGAAGACCCCGGGGGTGGGCAGGATGTGGGTGCAGCATGTATCACCGCACACACTCAGGATGTGAGCCAGGAGGTAGGGCATGGTGGGTGTCGGCAGCGACACTGCTGTCCACACTGAGAAAGCGTCCCTTAACTTGGAGGGAGCAGGCACAGAAATGAGACCGAAATCACAAGGACGGGAGGAAGACCAGGCAAATCAGGTCTAGGCCAGCTGGCCTTGCATCATACGGGGGTGCGGTGTGAGCCAGCAGAGCTCTGCACAATGTGGTCAGGAGCAGAGGGAGGTCCAGCAAGGGACCACAGCCTTTGCAGCTGTGTCTGCACATGCATTTAAAGGGGGACGCGATGTGAGCTTTGGGTCTGCCCTCATCAGTCTGCATTCACCCCTCCCCTGTGGCTTTACCTTTGTCTTACTGTGGCGCGGGGCTCTCTTTCTGCTCCACACCACTGCAACTGCAGCTGTCAGCTGAACTCCAAGATGGGCTGTCAGGGGGTTCAAGAAATCTAGAATTTTTTGTCTTATGGTCTAGAAAATAGAAAAAAAAGGTGTTGAAGAGTAAAGTCGAGGCTTGCACGTATCAGATATTTAGCCACCACCGACGGTAAGTGCTGCTTGTCAGGGTCCCACACCATCATGGCTGGGTGGAGCCCGGAAGAGAGGGCCCAGCTGTGTGACAGGGACCTGGCCCGTGCAGCTGACTGGGACAGCTCGGGTGACAGTAAATGCCTCCCCCAGTGCGTGGACAGAGCACAATCTTATTTCCGGCACTTAGTGGTGCTGGAGACGGAACCAAAGCCTGTGCCTGCCAGGTGTGCTCTTGAGAATGAGCACAGCCCTCGCCCAGGCAGGGTCTGGAAGGAGCAACACACAGCTTCGTGGGGACAGTGGGGGCTCCTGGTGGGGCAAGGAGCCAGGCAGTGAGGCCACGCTCCTTCACCCGGAAGTCCTGGAAGTCCCGCAGCCGGGCTCATCAGGCTGTTGAGCATGAGAGCGGATTTGCATGTGAAGGGAAGGAGGTGTAAAACGAACAAAGATGAGTTATGAACACGGACTTACTCCCCATAATGAAGGTGATCATTGTGTACTGCAAGCACGGGTAATAAAGATATAAATTTGAAAGAAAATAAACAAGAGCTGATTTTCAACTTCTGGAAATAAGCACTATTTAACTAATTGTATTATCTAAACAATTAAAAGACTTTTTGTTGTTGTTGTTTTATTTTATTTTATTTTTGGTGTTTTGAGACAGGGTCTCACTATGCAGTTGAGACTGACCCGGAACTCACTATGTAGCCCAGGCTGATCTCAAACTCACAGCGATCCTCCTGCCTCAGCCTCCTGAGTACTGGGATTACAGGTGTGCGCCACCACGCCTGGCTTTGTCGTTGTTCTTTCAGTAGGGTCCCACTACATAGCTCAGGTGAGCCTTACTCTTTCAGTGATCCTCCTGTCTCAGCCTCCCATGTGCAGGAATTATAGGCACGTGCCACTATACCTAGCTCATGGGACACATTTATCTATTTGTGCAACATCCATATTTATTTTGGGGGGACAACAGAAGACAAAGCACATGATGAACCTGAGCAAGGCCCCTCTCACCTTGGTGGTCTTAAAGTAGACAGAAGAGGACCCTTTGTTGGCCCCCAGGAGGTCCGTGGGCCTCTTCTGCGTCTCCTCCTTTCTCAGCATGTTCCAGAGAAGGGCCATGGTGTTAACGATGCGTGGCAGCTCTTCCAAAATGGCATTCCTGGCATTGCGCAGGCTGGTGGGGTCGCTCACCGCCGCGGTCTAAGAGTTAACATGGATGAGTGAGCTTGTGGCCTTGGTGACCGTCTCCTTCCACAGGGGCAGTGGCGCTGAGGGCATCTGGGGGGCTGCTGTTGTCAGGGCCGGCAAGTCACATGTGTGGTGGCCTGGCAGCAACAGGCTTCCCTATGCACAGCAACCTGAGGCTTTCCTAGGAAGAGCCACCAGGGCCCAGGGCTCCACACTACCAATTACAAACTCTGCGGTCATTCAGCCGAAGCTTTAGATAATGTCCTGAGATTTGATCATGGACAGGGTAGGACAACTAAGAGCTACTGTGTCTTCCAACTCAGATTTCACAAACACCTTGACAGCAAGTAAAAATTACGTTATGTAAAAGATGAATATTAAGTCGAAAGTCAAACAGGCAGCTTTCCATTTTATCTCACATGGTTACTGATGGGACAACAGGCAAAGGGGCAAGGAGCCCAGCCCTGGGAACAACCCGGGGAGGTCAAAATCACAAGTGCATCACTCACACATACATCTGAATACATTTTAGCGCAGACACATCTGCATAATCCATGCACACACTTCTGCAGACACACCTGCACCACCTAAACACATCTGTGCACGCACTGTCTTCACTTGCATATGTTTGCATGTGTATCTGCATCACTTACCTAAAACAATCATAGCCCACAAACACCAAACAGCAAACAGAAACTGTCTCAAACTCAACAGGAAAAAAACATACCTTTTTGTTTTGGTTTGGTTGTTCCAAAAGACAAAAATGACTAATAGTTGTTAGACCTTCCAAAAGAGTAAGTGGATAATCCGGAGAAATGTTTTCCTTCTTGGAGGTTGTGCTTTGGTGAAGAAATGAGAAACTGGTTTTGAGAATTTTTAAGGATTATAAACACAGATGCCAGAGATGTCACCATGTTAACTGCACAGGGTTTCAATAAAACATCATCATAAGAATGACAGGTATCTGGAGCCAGTTAGTGGCGCAACTGTAACTCCAGTACTCGGGAGGCTGAGGCCTCAGAGGATCATGAGTTCAAAGCCAGCTGGACTACATAGTGAGACTCTGTCTCCAAAAACCCAGGGACATACAATCAACATTCATAGTTGCTTCGTTTTGATTTTGTTTTTTTTGGGTACAGGGGATCAAATTTGGGCCCTTGTTGCAAGACAGGCGGCAGAACCACTGAGCCAAATCCCCAGCTCCTTGTCACTTTGGAAAGATAGTTTAAGATGGTACAGTTTCTGTGAGGGTAATTAATGTTTTCCATTTCTGTTTCACAAAAAATCAGAGTAACTGACTTGTTCAGCAACACTGAGCTAGCTTGGGTAGCTGTGTGAAATTAAAGATCTTATCCTTGCCGGGGATTTAGCTCAGTGGTGCTGTGCCTGCCTCGCAAGCACAAGGTCCTGAGTTCAATCTCTGGTACAATAATAAAAAAAAAAAAAAAGTCTTACCCTTTATTCTTTTCCTACCCCTCTTATTTATTTATTTATTCATTCATTTATTTATTTTTTGTTTTTTTGGGACAGGGTCTTACTATGTAGTTGAGACTGACCTGGATCTCACTATGTAGCCCAGGCTGGTCTTGAACTCACAGCGATCCTCCTGCCTCAGCCTCTCCAGTGCTGGGATTACAGGTGTGCGCCACCATGCCCAGCTTCCTACGCCTCTTTATAACACCAGTCAGGCTTCTGATTGGGTTGAATTATCCTCCAACTGGCAACTATAGCAAGATGGCCATTCATTTCAAAACTGTCATTAAAACACGAAGATGCTTTAAAAAAGCCTGGTGTGGTGATGCATGCCTATAATAGCAGAACTCAAGAGGCTGAGGCAGGAGGGTCACTGCCCATTTGAGGCTTGCCTGGGCTGTATAGTAAATTCAAGGCCAGCCCAGACTATATAGTGAGACTGTCTCAATAAAAAAAAAGGTGCCTCCCAGAGTTCAACCTACCTGACGGAGAGCTTCACAGACTCACTTTCATTCAGCTTGACCAGCTCATCCAGGTTTTTGCAAATCTGGACGACGAAGGGTGTCACCGTCCAGCCCAGGGACTTCCCGAAGTACGGCAGGGACTGCGTGACCAGGCTCACCCAGGCGGGGTGCATGCCATAGCCATAGGCAGGCTGCAGGCCCCGCACTACTGCCAAGACCAGCAGACCCTGGGAGGTGAGGGGGTGAGGCTGCACATACTGCATGGCGCCGATGGCCTGCTGGAAGTTCAGCGCCTTCTGCCACTCCCGGCACAGAGCCGGCTGAGTCTCGGCCTCCTCTTGGCCCTGGCCCAGGCGGTGCTCCAGGACGATGAGAGCCTGCAGGAGCTTGAGCAGTTCGATCTGCAGGGGGTGCTCGCTCCAGATCTGGCCCTGGCCCAGGTTGATGAGGCTCTCCTCGAAGAGGCTATCTTCCGCGGGGGCCCGGCCCTGGTGGCCGGTGGCCAGGCCATAGCGCTTCTGGCTTGTGTACATGGATGCCGACAGTGACAGCAGCACGAACTCCTGGACCTTGCACCTCTGCAGCAGGCTGCGGATGAACTCCATGTTCCTCCCCTCCGAGGACTTGGCCACTGACACCAGCTGCGTCACGATGCGGATCAGGACCTCCACGCTCTTGACCTGCACGTCGCGGTTGCCCAGGATGTCGCGGTGGGAGACCTTCAGGTAGCAGGGGTAGTAAGAGCGCAGGAAGCTCAGGCAGAGGTAGGTGAGGAGCTCGATGAGCAGCGAGTGGGGGCACACGCTGGGCGCCTGGGTCTGCAGCTTCCCGTAGAAACTCTGGCCGACCAGGGCCTCCTGGTGGCGTGTGAGGAGGTTGGAGATGAGGTTGAGGTGTGCGGTGGAGCTGGTGTCCATGCTGGTCCTGGACACGGCCTCGATGAACTCCTTGGCGTTGGTCTTGAGCACGGTCTCCAGCACGGAGAAGGCGTAGAGCACGCGGCGGGCGTCGTAGGGCTGCAGGTAGAGCAGGATGTGCTTAAACAAGGCCTCCAGCGTCTCCTGCCTTTCCTTCTGCTGCTTCAGCAGCCGTGATGTGCTCAGGGCCTGGAGCTCCAAGTCCGCCTCCTCATCACTGGACAACGACTCTGAAGCCTGCGTCTTGTCCGAGTCCGCACGCACCAGGCTCAGTCCGGCCCCAGACCTGAAGCTTTCGGGCTGGAAGGCGGCCAGCAAGGCCGAACGCCTGGGGTGCACCCTGCCCCCCACAGGGATGGGCACGCAGCAGCTGTCCTCCAGGCTCAGCCCCTGCGGGTTGTGGGACGGGGAGGAGAAGCTGGACGTGTTCTCGCTGTCCGTGTGGCCGGGGCTCGTGTCTGCAGACTCAGTGTGCTCACTGCTGTCCAGGGCGCTGGGGACCGAGCCGCCATCTGGGAGGCCCACGGAGGAGGACAGGTCCTCCTCACTCAGCTCTCTGCAGGGCAGGCACTTCTCCGGTTCCTTCTCCACTTCGGCCCAGATGGCTTCGCGATCCACCGTGGTGAACTGGCTCAGGGGCAGGTGCTCTTCGGAGCCACCTTCCACGAGCTCAGGGGCCCCGCCTGCCTCTTTGAAGGAAGGTTTCTTCCTGTGAAACCAACGATGCAAGTCCTCTGGAAACCATAAGACGGCAGACTTTAGAACAGAAGATTAGTGCTGGCGCTCGCTCTGGGGCGATGCTATCTCAAAGCTGACAGAAAGAGCAACGTCAAAAGCATCGCCCATGACACCAGCCACCAGGGCCTCGATTACATTATGGACAAGAGCTGGACCAGGGACAGTGAACAAGGTCATGGCATCCAAACATTTAAGTGGTCACTACTTTGGGGGGAGGCAAGTTGAAGAAATCCCTTCTTAGAAATGTCTCTTGTAGGAATACCAAGAGAAGTTTCAAACCAAAGATGGGGCAGCCTCTGAAATGTCACATGTGGACAAAATGAAAAGCAGAGTGAAGATCTGCAGGGGTGAGAGCAGAATAGGGCAAGTTCGTGAGTGATAGTCAACTACATTGTTTTTGGGTGTGAGGAATGCCCTTCTATATACCCGTGCAAGCCATGTGCAGGACACAGGACATACGAAGGTTTGCCCGACTGTGCCCTCTCAGGGGAAGGGCTCTATCACACAGCTGGGAAGAAGGCTGCAGAGTATCCACCACACCACCCGCGGCCCAAGGTATCAGCTTCCACTGCAGGGACTGCTGTGTAGGCTTTTACCTCCTCCTATTCCGATTTTAAAAATAAGCACATTAACACTTTCATGATCAGCCCATACACAGTACTTTCAAATATTCAAAGAGACACAAAAGTCTTTGGTACTGCCAGACATTTTGGTAGGCAGCTTTCAACAAATTTATGCCAGAAAAGTAAGCAAGATAAGGAAAGGAGGAGGAATAAGGTATCAGAAATTCATGAGCATCTTCAAGCACAGTAATATTTTTTGAAGATTTCTGCAAGATTCAGGAAGCAGGGCGGGGAGAGGTGGTAGACACTTAAGTTTCCTCCAGGGGAAGAAAATGGCAGAGCAAATGCGGTCTCTTAGACTAGGAGGCAGCAGATGGCTCTAGTGGTTGGCAGAGATGGGCAGAGGCTGGCAAGGCAGTGCTCCCGAGGAACCATGGAGTTCAAACGTTCCTCTTAAAAAGCCGACAAATATGAAACACACAGCCTCTAAGAATGGCAGCCCGACTTTAGAAGGTGCTTGGTTTATGCTTCCTTAAGTTTTCCTTTGTTAGAATGTAGAATAATTCTGTGTGTTCCTCCCAAAGGGAAATCAGAGGTTTCAGGTGCAGGCAAGAACCCTGTGCAGAGAAGAGGCCACTGCCTCCATCTCCGCTGCCTCTGCTCACTGGGGTGTGTGTGTGTGTGTGTGTGTGTGTGTGTGTGTGTGTATGTCTGTGTGGTATCTATATCTGAGGTGGCACAGAGATGATCTTTACAGCCTGGTGAGCTAAGCAAATTGGGTGTGAGAAATGCCTCAAAACTGGTGAACTGGCCCCCTGAAAAAACGGGGAGTATAAAATACAAGTACTAGGGAGCACAAGCTCTTCTCGGCAGCTGTGTGAAAGACCCTGCAGCCAGGTGACTGCAGCATCGTCTCGAGTGTGGAGAGATGGACTGGGGTAGATCAAAGCCAGAACTACCTTGGGCTCTCTCGGGTCTTTCCACAGTCATTTACTGTCATGCTCAGATATGTTTTATTTTTTTAAGTTTTATTTTACCAGGGATCGAACTTGGAACCTTGTGCTTGTGAGGCAGGCGGCAGCACCACTGAGCTGAATCCCCAGCCCTGTCGCCCTCAGATCCAAACAGTCTCCGTAGTCAAGCCTTTCGCAACGCATCGCTAAGCTTACCAGACCTCTCACCTGCTCTACCACCTGGACCCAGGACAGATTCCCCCACCTATGAGATATCATTTTTCTCTCTCTGCTCTCTAAAGTTCTTTGCAACTATAAAATCCTATTGATTAGATAACCAAAAAGGCAGAAGAGGGCTGGGAATTTGGCTCGGTGATTCCACCGCCAGCCTCGCAAGCGCAAGGGCCCGAGTTTGATCCCTGGTACCAAAAAAAAAAAAAAAAAAAAAAA